TTACGCGAACGTTAGAAATTATGAACAAATATGCGAGCGGCGATTATGACGTAGCGGGCAGATATACTATATCTGCCCGCTCCGAGCGGGACGTAAAGCTATATCTGCCCGCTGATGAAAATATAAGTTTTTACAAACCGGCTTTATGTACCCGTAACACGTCCAAGTATGGGATAAATAGTGTTATGTTATGGGAGGTCTTGGATATGGGGCATATCCTGAGGGAAATATAGATATCTTACACAAGGCCCATATTTCCCGAGGGATATACCCCATATTCTAAACCGAGCATTCATCCTATGACAAGTGAGGTTTCACAAGTGAGGATTTTAGGACACCCATATCCAGGTTTGTTTTCTGTAAAACCCATCAATACTTTGGTCAAGAAAATAAAGAGTCAAAAAATTCTACTGCATCCGTTTTGACATTCTAACAAATTGACTGCTTTTACACTGAACAATAACGATTTCTTGGAAATATCCCGAGGGATATACAATATATCTTTCCGAGGGTCCGAAGGGACCAAGGGAAGATATATTGTATATCCCAATCCCAAGGGATATTTCCTGTATCAAAACCGACGGTGCATAACTGTTGTATTCAATACCCGATGAGGTTTGAAATTATAAACAGGTTGTCGACAGGCCGGAGTTCCCCTTAGTGGCCAAGTACTCCTTCAGTACATAAACATCCAAACGAGTTTTTACGAAGGCTGACCACGAAGCGGGCGCCTGCTTTGGACACTTTTGATATTTTTACATATTGTAGATGATTTAAATGGCCTCTTTTGAATATCCATAATTTAATTTGAGCGATATATCTGTATTTTTCATCAAAAAATTATTAGCCCAGGAGACTGTTCTCCAAACCAACACTTGACCTTTTGTTCAGTCTTTTGTCTGTGATCTTTGACTTTAGTTATGATGGCGTGAATTCCGGGGTTGGATATATTGCCGTCGTATGTCTCGGAGAACGGCTTAAGCGGGATATATGAATCATATATCCAGGAACATCATTAGAGCGGGACATGAAATATATCCAACCAAATATGAAATATATTCCCCGGAGGTCTGATTTTTCTATGGTGCAAACTTCTAAAGTATGTGTCGAGTCACCTATCCTCGTGTGAAACTTTTCACTCTGGTGATTTATCAAAATATGTACGCACAAGTGACAAAGTGACTACATAGGTACCCGTATAGATATCTCGAGTGTTATTGACTTTTCGGCTTATCTCTACTAATCCACTCGAGTTAAGCCTTTAAGTCAACAAACCGACCCTTCGCTAACCCTAAGGCCCGATAAGAGGCTTCCTAGCCCCCGAAAATCGACCCTATTTCCCTCCCCCACCACGCCCCTACCCAGGGTATAGTTAGGGGTGAAGTCTTCTAGGCCTAACCTAACCCCCCTAAACACTTTGGCGCGGGTCCCATCTCTCTAGCTCTTCCCGTTCGGGAGATAGAAATCGGGCTGTCGGAGCCGCTTTCTTTGATCTCGCCGACACCCCCCTCCCTCGCATATTCAGGCAATTTCAGTTATACCCTTACTATACTCCTCCAGTCTTAACCCTAATCGCTATAACGGATAAAATTGGTTTTTACCGAACCTAACATTATAATAAAAAGTAGTAGACTGATTTCACGTCAAAATTCTCTTGATACCACACAATAATTGTAAAATAAAACTCCCCTAATAAATGATGTCTTTCATTTGTCGAAATGTAGCCACATCCCCACATTCTAACTTCTGTGAAGTTTTACGTTTTAAATCATATTGTCTGTGCCTGCATGTATTCTTAGCTCAAAATAGTGGCTGAATTTTACGAACTGTACATTCGATATGTACATTAAATCAAAACTTGTAATCATAATAGCATAGTAGTCTACTAACATTTTCATTCAATAATGACATAACAATAATATGTTTTTAATACATAAACAACTATATTCTGATATATTTTGTTTTTGTTTTCAATATTCTTGATGATTAAGTTAACTATCTTATCTAGCATAACTATAAACAAATATTTTACACTACATAGTCTCTTTGAAAGGTGCAACTTTGAAAAGTATCAGAATGTGATCTATGGATTCTGATCTGCATATCCGAAACATAACGCTTGACCAAACCATATATCTTCTACACTTCTGCCCTTGCACCATTGAACAGAAAAGTATATGGTGTATTGTCCACACACTGATGAATCCCAACTTTGAAGTCTTACTGAAGTCGATATAATGTTCCTTTTTAAGCTCTTTGCAAATGTTTCGAAATCTGATTTGTAACAGTAATAAGACGGTGCGTGGCCGTAGGAATCTACAAAATACACGTTTCTTCTGCTATCTCGCTATCTCTGGGTACTATAAAGAGGCACCAATGTTGACCCTCTTGAGATGTTTTGTCTGTATTACTAACTAATATCTCACACTTTGGAGCATTGTGTAGGACTAAGCTACGTAACGCATCGCTACCAAACACTCCGCAATGTTTATTTTTGGTTAAGTTATTGCTTTTCAAAATACAATTAATCTCCTCCGTGTTCATTTCGTCGTTAAATCAGTTGAATATAACCTTTCTGGACTTGTCTATTTCGAAGACTGTGGGGAAGACACGAACTGAAATGTTATCTTCGATATTGAGTTTACATGGTTAAGACTTACAAAGTTCAAGCAGTCAACTTATACCAATACTGCGTTGATTAAATGTAGTTTCCCGTCCATAATGACCATTATAATAAACCCATTTTCTCAAAACGCAAAGAACCATATTGTCGGACCTGGCCAAAATGTGGTAGTGTGGAGAGGTCAAGTCACTGACAATTATTTTATTATGGGATTCTCACAGATTATCTACGTGGGCGCAGACCTGGTTTGGTGGTACTGCGGCTTAAGAGAACATACATGACAAGAATTAATGGCAACAAACACACATATATTTATACAATTACAATAAAAATTACAATAAAATATCAGTTTACGCAAATAATGTATGTCTAATGTCTTTATTTATTCTCCTATACTCAAAGAGTAATCTCAAAGTCCTTATTATTGCTCATATGCTCTAATAAAATCAAACTCAAATGTCTGTCATCCCCAAATTACTCATAAACTAATATTAATCACAATGTCCAGAAATTATATACACTCTGCTGCTTCGTCTCTTCTAGGGTCGTTGCTCTGGTTACTCCTCACATCAAAATTAATAATACTCCTGGCTATTCGTCAGCTTACTTCAATTTACTCTTGGTTTCCTCAAGTTGCTCCTCCTCTGCTAATATGATTACTCCTCCTGCTCTCAAATTACTCCTTGATTACTCTCTCAATTACGCCTAACCTCCGGTAACTCCTTAATTGCTCTAAGGATCAGATTACTCCACAATTACTCCTACGATCACTCCTTACTCCTTCTGCTCCCAGCTTACTCCGGGCTCACTCTACTCACAAGTTAATCCCAATTGCTCTTCAAATTACTCTTTCCACTCTCAGATTACTCCTGGCTTACTCTCTGTTAGTTCCGCGGAGAGTAATAATTACTCTCAGCTCACTGGTAGATTCTGTAAGGCCAATGAGTAAACCTGAATAAATTAGCTCTTACAATAAGAGTGAAACAATGCTGGTGATGAGTAATTCTAATGAGAAATGCACAATCTATATTACTCCCTGATAATTCACATGAGGAGCAAAGGCAAAAGATCAATTTACTCCACAGATAGCAATACTATGCAAAGTTAACTAAAGAAACGTTGGGAAAGTAAAGTAAGGAGTATTTGTTAAGAGAAGCTAAAGGATGATGAATTAATTTATTAAAGAGATATAGATTCCCCTTTTTATTAGCAAAGGTAGAAAAACACTAAAAGCACAACTATAGAAAGGTTATTTGAGATCTCAAACTGATATAAGCATAGAGATACTGTATAAATCAGGTTCTGATCAACACTAAACAACAATTATTCCCAGTCACTCTCTGGTAGTTCCGCAGGAAGTGACAATTACTTCCAGCTCACTTTTAGATGCCGCAACTGAGAATAAAATGTATAGGCTTAGATATCAAACACTTGGAAGACAACACTGGCAGCCAGATGGAAATATTTAGCTTGGAAATACAAAGTTAAACGCACATAAATGCACCTTTAATAAAGTCTTATAAATAATTCACTGCTTCTCAAAAATAATAGATGATCAGCACATCATCATCCTCAACATCATTTGAAGCTATGGAATACGAGCCATAGAAAAAGGTTACCTTACCACATGCGTCTTCCTGCTTCTAGATACCTTACTCCAAACTTCGGGTCATCAACAGGTAGTCACACCACACATGGCCCTAATTCTCTCCCGCTTTTCCCTCTCCAAAACGTCCAATAAACCTACTTCCGTGTAGATTAAACTGCCTCAACAACAGCACAAAATACTTCTCGAATAAATGTCACTATCCTTAATGACAGATTACACTTATCTCCTACGATATCTCCACAAGTTTCAGCATCAATCCAAAGCTAAATGGCCGCCATCTTCCTCACGCTTCTTCTTCTTCTAGCCCCAGGTTCAACTATTGTAAATCAGGGATCCCACGTGACCAATTTTAGGGGAAACACCCCTTACCTTTTGGTCCAATGTAATTAATTACTCCCGGGAGAGTCCCTCTTATATTACTAATGACATGTAACAATTAACTTCTAAATTTCCCAAAAGATAATTACAATTTAATTAAAATAACATAAAGTGGGGAATTCCTAAATTTCCCACACACCCCCCATCTTAAATCAATGCGCCCTCGCATTGCTACTCCTAACTCGAGTAATGAGTAAACGACTATCTTAATCTAAAGTTCAATTAACTACAAAAATAACATATAAGAACATTAAACATCTTACAGTTTATAATGTTCCAATTACTCAACCTTTGCTCCCATCTCTTTACATCAAATCAAAATCTCAAGTGTCTCTTGGTTTTAATATATGACTTAATGTCCATGACTGAGAAAAACCATTCAGTCTCTATCTACTCATTGATCTTGTTGTTTTCACATTCCTCAGGAAGTATTATCAACTCAAGCACATCGATGGCCTTTCTATACACCTCCTCCAAACATCTACGTGACTCCGATGTATGGCCTGATTCTAACCCAAATGTATTTAAAACTGGTATCATCCTTTCCAGCGAGCGTTTCATTTCCATGAGTTGAGGAGTGACTGTCTCTTTAGAAACATGCTCTTTCTCTACTATAGGCTCCACTAATGTGTTCCCAAACACCTTGCTTCTCCGAGTAGGCTCTGCTCTTCCACTCCTTTGGGAACCTCCTCTTCTCCCAGACATTCCGTTTGTCTGAGTGTATTCTACCCTTCTACTCCTTAAATGGTATCTTATTGGCATTAGAGTCTCTATATTACTCCTTGGCGCATCTTCTCTCGGTACAGGCTCATTGATACGTCCTGCCAATGGTCGTTCAACTGGAACAATATTTGCTTCCTCCATCAATGGTAACTCCTGTCTACAGGGAACTCTATTCTTCAGTTGATCATTCCTCTGATTAAACTTCTTAGACTTGCTCCTGATGAATGGCTGATTCATAGTCAACTCCTTTAGTTTGCTCTCCTGTCCACCAGAGTCTTTCTCAAGTGGCCATATCTTCCTCTCTTTTAAATTCCTGTGAGCTACCACCTTGTGCTCGTGGACCTTGTCTCTATTGGGCCTCCTTAATCTATTCTCTTGAGTATTATCCCAAGTGAGAGTTTCATGAGTACTCCCTGTAAGTGCACTCTTCAGAGAAGACTGTTCTCTCTGGCTCAGTGATGGTCCATTGCTCCTAGTAGATTTACTATGTACTAAGCTATCCCTCCCAGTACAGTTGTCCTTTCTACTCCCAAGATTCTGGTTATTGGGAGTTGACCTCTTCATCTCATACTCCACCAATGTAGGGTTCTTGCCGACTTGTTTTGACTTTCTCAGTGTTCCCTTGCTGTTCACACTTTGGGTTCTCATTCCACTCTCCTGGCAATACCTACGAGTAAGACTCGCCCCTTTGCTCTTCAAAACAAGATTTCTAAGATCATCTGATTTATTTTCATTATTCCTCATTATTCCCCTCATAGATGAGTTTTCCTTAAGTGTAAGTCTCTGGTTCTTATGCAAGGATAGCTCGTTGCTCAGAACGTCACTATTTGTATCAGGGATATCATACTGTCTTTCGGTGGATTCTTCTTTACTCTCTCCAGATTCCATCTTAGTAATATCTCTTCCTGGCTCTTGACAGGATTCTTCAGCATCCTCGCTATCAGGAAACTCCATCATCTCTGTGTCATCAGCATCCACATTCCTATCGAACGTCGTCTTTTTGGTCTTATATGAATCTCCCCTTATGTTGTACCTATCTGTCTCCGGTTTACTCTGTGAGTGGCAGGAGGAACACAGCATTATCTCCTCTGCCTTCTTTTCTTGATCCTTGAAGTAAATTCTCAAATTAGGATAATCAATAGTAGCTCCGCTTGCAGATAAATACTCCGACCCAAGGATACCATCTTGGGCAATATCTGCTACCCGGTATTTATTGTCATTATCTTGCTATCCAGCTCAATATCACATGATATCATCCCAAACATAGCTAAATGGGATCCATCTGCCTGAGTGAAGAGTCTGTCTAAGGGTCTCAGAGGAGGGCGATGCTCCTTTGGTATACGGTTGTAGCAACCCCATCCTATCATAGTGCTAACAGCCCCTGAATCAACAAGGAATTCCATCCTAGTCCCACAGATATCCACATCTGCTACTATCTTCCGCACCAGTTCCTCTCTATTCCCTGTAGTTATCTCCTCATAACGATCTGCCATAAACCTCACAGGAGTCACAGAATTGGTGGTTACTGTCCTGGACTGATCTTTCTCTCTTTTTGGCTTCTCAGGTAATGGACAGTCAAATGACAAATGCCCAGGTTTGTCACAATTATAACAGGTAATTGTTGGACACCATCTTACTCTATGTCCCTCCTCTCCGCACTTTTTACAACTGAATGTACGTTTAGAAGGTCCTCTGTTAGCGATATCGGCTATATCCTTACTCATCTTTCCCAGTGTCTTTTCGAGTAACTGCTCCACTGGTTTTAGTATTTGCTGCAGTTTAGTACTTATATCATCTTCCTCATCAACTTGCAAGATTTTATGATCCCTCTTAGATTTTAGGCCTCTCCTGATTCTTTCCGATTCCTGGTAGCTTTCCTCTTTGAGAGCTACCTCAATGGCCTTATCAAGTGTTTCTGGATCCTTCCTATGGATTGCCTGTCGTAGATCATCATCTGGTATGGCTTGCTCAAAGCTCCTTCTGGCAAGTCTATCTTGAGTCATCCTGCTCATCTCAGGATAGGCTAACGAAGCTAAACGCCGGATATTCTGGCCCAAACTCTGAAGGGACTCCTTGGGCTTTCGTGTGCGACTGCACAACTCAGCCTCAAACACGTCGGCTTTCCCCCCTGGTCCAAATCTCTTTTCAAGGGCCTCTATTAAGTCCTCATAGGAATAGCCCTCTTCCAGTTCAAGCACCAATTGTTGGGCGTCTCCACGAAGATTAGTAGCCAAATACTGCCTTTTCTCCTCTGAAGTCCAGCCATTATTCTCTACGCAAGTAGCAAAGTAAGCCCTGTAATCTTTCCAAGGCGTGCTACCATCAAAGGTTTGTGTTGGCTTTATTCGCACCCGTGGACCTTTGTTGGACTCGATTAACTTAGTACACATGTCCAGAACCTTGGTAACAATCACTGACTCTGCTGCTTTCTCCTCTTTCACTTCTGGTTGCCTTCCATCCTGATGATCAGGAGGGTACTCCATCGGTGAGTGTAGAGAATGTCTCCCATTTCTCCGTATCTCACTCCTGTCGAGTTCTCCTCCGCCACCGAATTCCCCAACTCCCTCCTCTGCCAACTGCTTTCGGGAGTATTGGGTAGGTTTCTGATAAGTCTCCTCTCTGAGCAATGGAGCAGATCTCCCCTGCTCTCTCAGTTGTTCAGAGTAACTCCTTCCATATTCTTGTGATAATGGCCACCTATCACCCCCCATCTTAGCATCCTGTGGCCATCCTTTGCCAAGATGTGATGCTAATTCCTCACCAACATACCGATCCTGTCTCTGAAGTGATGGCCTCTTCCTATACATGCCAGAACATACATCTCCCTGCGGCTGAGTATTTACTCTGCCTGGAGTGTGTGGAGAGTCTAGTCTACTCTTCTGCTCTAGCTCTCGATCTGCAGCCATTGTACTCTTGTAACCCTGCTTTTGTTTACTCTCTGACTCATCAGAAGTGAAACAACTGTCATCCTTAGTAGCAGGAAGACGCTGCACTAGAATAGACAGAAAGCCCTTAACGTCTTGTAGCGCTCCTTTAGCTTCTTGTTGGGCTTCAAGGTGGCTTGCACTCAGTCTTTCTATCTCTGTCTGGATCTCTCTCTGACCTGAGTAAACTTCCCTTCTCAGATCTTCATACATAGTTCTATTTTGTTGGTCCAGAGCCTTCATTTGACTGTTTAACACAGACATCTGATTTTGCTGAGTCTGTAGCTCCTGTTCCATTGGCATAATTACTTCTGGAGATTTTCCATCTAGTACAGTGGATGTTAAAGGGTAACCTCTTGCTGGTGTCATCCCATAACCTTCTCTCTGTACTGTGTATCCAGTCTTAGATCTCGCTCCTGCTGGATTTTCCTCTGCTTGTCTTGCAGATTCGGTTCCACTAAATGTGTCTCTTCTGACTGGCACTGTATCATCAAGCTCAATATCCATTTGAGCAGTATCTCCTTTGAAGAAGACAGTGTTATCAGAGGACTCCTCCTCTTGTGTTCTTCCTTCCATCTGAGATTCCACGTATTCCATTCCTTCCTCTGGTTTAGTTGCCATATTCTCTTTTGGACGTCCTCCCTAAGCAAATCCCACCGCTGCCACCAATGTCGGACCTGGCCAAAATGTGGTAGTGTGGAGAGGTCAAGTCACTGACAATTATTTTATTATGGGATTCTCACAGATTATCTACGTGGGCGCAGACCTGGTTTGGTGGTACTGCGGCTTAAGAGAACATACATGACAAGAATTAATGGCAACAAACACACATATATTTATACAATTACAATAAAAATTACAATAAAATATCAGTTTACGCAAATAATGTATGTCTAATGTCTTTATTTATTCTCCTATACTCAAAGAGTAATCTCAAAGTCCTTATTATTGCTCATATGCTCTAATAAAATCAAACTCAAATGTCTGTCATCCCCAAATTACTCATAAACTAATATTAATCACAATGTCCAGAAATTATATTCACTCTGCTGCTTCGTCTCTTCTAGGGTCGTTGCTCTGGTTACTCCTCACATCAAAATTAATAATACTCCTGGCTATTCGTCAGCTTACTTCAATTTACTCTTGGTTTCCTCAAGTTGCTCCTCCTCTGCTAATATGATTATTCCTCCTGCTCTCAAATTACTCCTTGATTACTCTCTCAATTACGCCTAACCTCCGGTAACTCCTTAATTGCTCTAAGGATCAGATTACTCCACAATTACTCCTACGATCACTCCTTACTCCTTCTGCTCCCAGCTTACTCCGGGCTCACTCTACTCACAAGTTAATCCCAATTGCTCTTCAAATTACTCTTTCCACTCTCAGATTACTCCTGGCTTACTCTCTGTTAGTTCCGCGGAGAGTAATAATTACTCTCAGCTCACTGGTAGATTCTGTAAGGCCAATGAGTAAACCTGAATAAATTAGCTCTTACAATAAGAGTGAAACAATGCTGGTGATGAGTAATTCTAATGAGAAATGCACAATCTATATTACTCCCTGATAATTCACATGAGGAGCAAAGGCAAAAGATCAATTTACTCCACAGATAGCAATACTATGCAAAGTTAACTAAAGAAACGTTGGGAAAGTAAAGTAAGGAGTATTTGTTAAGAGAAGCTAAAGGATGATGAATTAATTTATTAAAGAGATATAGATTCCCCTTTTTATTAGCAAAGGTAGAAAAACACTAAAAGCACAACTATAGAAAGGTTATTTGAGATCTCAAACTGATATAAGCATAGAGATACTGTATAAATCAGGTTCTGATCAACACTAAACAACAATTATTCCCAGTCACTCTCTGGTAGTTCCGCAGGAAGTGACAATTACTTCCAGCTCACTTTTAGATGCCGCAACTGAGAATAAAATGTATAGGCTTAGATATCAAACACTTGGAAGACAACACTGGCAGCCAGATGGAAATATTTAGCTTGGAAATACAAAGTTAAACGCACATAAATGCACCTTTAATAAAGTCTTATAAATAATTCACTGCTTCTCAAAAATAATAGATGATCAGCACATCATCATCCTCAACATCATTTGAAGCTATGGAATACGAGCCATAGAAAAAGGTTACCTTACCACATGCGTCTTCCTGCTTCTAGATACCTTACTCCAAACTTCGGGTCATCAACAGGTAGTCACACCACACATGGCCCTAATTCTCTCCCGCTTTTCCCTCTCCAAAACGTCCAATAAACCTACTTCCGTGTAGATTAAACTGCCTCAACAACAGCACAAAATACTTCTCGAATAAATGTCACTATCCTTAATGACAGATTACACTTATCTCCTACGATATCTCCACAAGTTTCAGCATCAATCCAAAGCTAAATGGCCGCCATCTTCCTCACGCTTCTTCTTCTTCTGGCCCCAGGTTCAACTATTGTAAATCAGGGATCCCACGTGACCAATTTTAGGGGAAACACCCCTTACCTTTTGGTCCAATGTAATTAATTACTCCCGGGAGAGTCCCTCTTATATTACTAATGACATGTAACAATTAACTTCTAAATTTCCCAAAAGATAATTACAATTTAATTAAAATAACATAAAGTGGGGAATTCCTAAATTTCCCACAATATTCTAATAGTGTTTTGTATTTTTATCGACTTTTTCATGTTTAGAATAATCTTCACTAATTCAACTATTAATAACAAATTTAATCCGCACATTCTCTTCGGAAGCTGTCAGAAGGTGATCTTTGCCTTTTTATCTGCATATTTGAACAGAAAGTTTAACCAAGCCATCGTTCACTTGCCAATGGGTATTTGTACTGAAGTCTGATTATATATCTTGTACAGACCTGCCCTTTCACCATTGTACCGAAAATATATCAGTAATGTCCACATACTGAAGACAAGGCATACTGAAGTTGAGACAACGTTTCTTTGTAATCTCTTCGTAAATGTTTCGAAATCAGAGTTGTTATAAAACGGTATGTGGCGGTATGAATCTATAAAATAGACGTTGGACATTCCTCGCCTGTTCTTGTAGATAACATACTGTACGTGTACATCGAAATTAATGCTATCGTTAAATATTCGGCCCAAATATGTAGAGTGCTTAACGCTTTCAAGGAAAGTTGTC